GAGAGAGAGAGAGGGGGAGAAATAGAGAGAGGGGGGTGAGGAAAGTGCGGGGGAGAGGGGTTTGGGGTGATTAAGAAATGATGAGACTAAAGTTTCAAAAAAGAAAAAGAAAACTAGTAAAAATGAAGACAGCTAGTTGAAGAAATAAATAGACTAAAGGAATAAGCGAAGGAAGGAAGGAGGTCGATGAGACGCAAGCAACAGGCTTGTGATGAAACAGAACTGATGATCTGGGACAAGGAAGACAGATGGAGAGATAGTGGAGTGGGGATAAAGAGGACAGTTGAGGAAAAAAGGAATACGAGTGGAGAAAGTTGGACGGGGGTTAGAATTGCTCGAGGATGTAAAAACGACACAGGAAGGGAGAACCAGGGGAGGTGATCGTGAAAGAAGAACTGGGGAAATTGGTGAGTTGCTAATTGGTGTGTGCGTGCATGTGTATGTGTGTGTGTCTGTGTGTGTGTGTGTGTGTGTGTGTGTGTGTGTGTGTGTGTATGTGTGTGTGTGTGTAGTGTGTGTGTGTGTGTTTGTGTATGTGTGACGGGTAGTTGAGTTTATGTATGTGTGTGTGCGTGTGCGTGTGCGTGTGCGTGTGCGTGTGCGTGTGTTTGTGTTTGTATGTTTTGGGTGTTTAACTGTGAGTGGGTAAGGGAGAAATAGAACTTTTGCTTTAATAAAAAAGGGGAGGGGGATAAAATCAATACTGAAGTTGGGGTCAGCGGGTGTAAAACTAGACCAAAAAAAGCGTTGACCGAGGTCTCTTTCTTCAGATGATCGTTGGTTATAACTAATTTAGTTCCTTATTTTTTTTGCCTTACATTCTGTACCCCTATCCCTTTTTTTTAAAAACCCATCAATTCCAACACACTGTAAAACCCTCCTTCCCCCAACACACACAAACACACACACACACACACACACACACACACACACACACACACACACACACATACACATACACATACCAATTCACACACGCACACACAGACGCACACACATGTATACACACACACACATGCACACAAAGCCTCCCCTCTCAAGGTCTTTCCAAACAAACGTCAAAACAGAAGGTATTAAAACACCAGCCCTATATTATATATATAACAACATTAACCTCGGCAAATGCACTGCAGTGCCAAGTGATAGCTCCCTGCTGCTTGCACAAAAGGACAGTCTTATTATTACATAACGGTCTCAAGGAGGTACGTGTAATTATGTTCTAAGCCACTTGCTCTGTCCAATGGGTAGTTTGTAGATTTACGGTCCATGATTCAGTCCCCACAGATTTCTATAAATAGCCTAACCCTAAGAAAGGCCTTGGTCTTCACTCCAAAATGCAAATACTGTTGTGTTATTCTAAACATGTGAAGACTACAAGGGGGAAACGACTGTAGTCACAAACTGAAAATCATGAGGGTACCAATTTTGAATGAACGCTTGCTGACTGAAAGCTGTATTTCTGTTCAACTGTTGGTTGATTATTGTTGTTAGATTTCCCATTCAACATCACTTAACAATAAACAATCAATCAAACAAATATGAAGTTATGAGTCCTCAAGCTTTTAAAATTGGCACCCTCATAATTTCCAGTTTGTGACTGCAGTCGTTTTCCCCCTGTGCTCTTCATCATGAATATTACTGTTATTTTACTAACGAATTTTGTTATGTGTATTTTTAAATATGCATTTCTACTATTCCAACTTGAATTTATAAAAATGTAAAATCAAGCAGTTCTTCGAACTATCGTGAAGACTACCAACTTAAGTCCCGCGCACTCATTCATCATAACAATTATGACCTTTTATGTAGCTGCGAGCGCCATAGGCTAAAACTGGTCCCAAACAGGAATTCTGTGCTCTGTCCTCAAAACGTGCGATGTTTACAGTCGCAGGTCTGTCGAAACTGTCTAGCTGTGCTCCAACAGCTGCTGTCGAAAATGTCTATCTGATCCGTGTGTAACCAGAGTGGGTTTACAGTTAGTTAATATTGTATTACTCTAAAACTCTCTGGTGTAACTGAAAACACGAGATGCGAACTTGATCTAGATCGAAGCATTTTTACCCAACGTTGCCAACCAAGATACGGGATCTCCCACATATATTATTTAACACTCGTGCTTGCCAAGTCCGCGGTTTGGTCATTTTTGGTGGACGATGGCCGGCGGTCATCCGAGTCGTGACAGGTGCTATTGCTATTTTACTTTACTAGTTGTGGTGGTGGGCAAAATCCGGATACTCTGCTATCCGGATAACCGGATAATTCTCAACGAAACGTTATCCAAATTCAGACTCTTATTTAACTCTCTTTCCTGACCAGTTTTCCGAAGTGTGTGCAGCCATATTTTGTTAACGTAGATCTTACTCGTTTGTCCAAGTGGTTCAAACTCTAACCCATTAGCCGAAGCCTGAGCCTACACACTTCACTGTGGGCCTAGGCCGAAGCGCTTCATACCATATTAATTTGGCGAGGAAGTGCACTAACAATAATATTATCTGGATTTTGTTAAAGCGACTCATTGCCCAGCCCTATATTTTACGCTGCGTTTGGAAAAACAGGAAGCAGGTAAGGCTACACTATATATATAGGAGGCGGTACAAAGAATGCTGGCCTCTTTTACTGTACTGTGCAAGTGGCAAAAGTGGGCGTTGGCTGCGAAAAGGTTTACATACATACATACATACATACATACATACATACATACATACATACATACATACATACATACATACATACACACATATATACATACACACA